TGTTTTCTGTTTGTCCTTTATTACTGCTGTCAGACGGAAAGTGGCGGTTCTTTTAACCAGTCAATGGACTGCGGTTTGTCTCGCTCCAACCTTTAGGGTCTTATTGGTACACTTGGCACCTAATGTGGATCTAATGTGTTTGGATTAAATCTTTTATTGGATTTAAACCGTTGGGACTCAGTTTGATGAATTATTATGATCAGGAGAGTTCAGTAAACCTTTAAACGGTTAAAAGACGTTGTTTGTTTGTCGGTGGTCTGACAGGTGGGTAGATTGTGACTGCTGTGGTGGTCTGACCTGCACACACTGGGCCGTCTGAGTAACAGGGTCAAATATGCTGGTGCACCGTTTATGTTTTCATAATTATATCAGATCAGCATATTGATTTACTTTGTTTGACTGAAACCTGGCTGTGTTGAGATGAATATGTTAGTTTAAATGAATCCACTCCTCCCAGTCATTTTAATACTCATATACCTCGAGACACCGGACGAGGTGGTGGAGGAGCAGCTATTTTTAATTCTAGTCTTGTAGTTAACCCTCAACCAAAGCTGAATTTTTCTTCTTTTGAAAGCCTTGTTCTTAGTCTTTCACATCCAGTCTCAAGAACCTTTCAGCCAGTTCTAGTTGTTGTAGTTTACCGCCCTCCTGGCCCATATTCTGAGTTTCTATCTGAATTTGCAGAATTTTTATCAAATTTACTCCTTAGCAGTGATGGAATAATTGTTGTAGGTGACTTCAATATCCATGTGGATGTTGAAAATGATAGCCTTAACACAGCTTTCATGTCATTATTAGACTCTATTGGTTTCACCCAGGGTGTAAACGAACCTACTCATCGTTTTAACCACACCCTAGATCTTGTTTGAGCTTATGGCATTGAAATCCAAAACCTTACAGTTTTCCTAGAAAATCCTCTTCTATCAGACCATTTCCTTATTACTTTCGACTTTGTCCTACCAGAATTAGCTCTGTTTAATAAAAATGTGCTCTCTAGAAGTTTATCTGATAGAGCTGTAGCTAGATTTAAGGAAGCTATTTCAGCTGCTTTTGATTCAGTACCGTGTTTCAACCCAGTTGGAAACTCTTATGATAGCTTTAGTCCCTCTCAGCTAGATCAGTTTGTTGATAGTGCAGTGGATTCGCTGAGAGTTACTCTTGATTCGATTGCTCCCCTAAAACAGAAGGTTATCAAACGGCAGAGACTAGCTCCATGGTTCAACTCAGAAACCCGTACTCTAAAACAATCGTCGCGAAATTTTGAAAGAATATAGCGCTCGACCAAAACGGTAGAATCTCGTTTATTCTGGCAGGATAGTCATAGAAAATATATGAAGGCTCTACGTCATGCTCGAGCTGCCTACTACTCCTCTCTAATCGAGGAAAACAAAAGCAATCCTAGATACCTTTTCAGCACTGTAGCCAGGCTGACAGAGAGTCATAGCTCCATTGAGCCTTTAGCCTTTAGCCCTCAGCAGTAATGATTTCATGAGCTTTTTTAACAACAAAATTCGAGACATCAGAGACAAATTGTTAACCTCCTGCCCTTACCTGGTGCAGATACGTCTGATACGGCAGAGACAGTTCCAGGACCAGATATTAGTTTAGACTGTTTTTTTCCAATCAACCTTTCAGAGCTAAATTCAATTATTTCTGCGTCGAAACCATCAACCTGTCTTTTAGACCCAATCCCAACCAAGCTGTTTAAGGAAGTCTTTCCCTTCGTTAGCAACTCTATATTAGATATGATCAATATGTCTTTACTGGCAGGCTATGTACCACAGTCATTTAAAGTAGCGGTAATCAAACCTCTACTCAAAAAACCTGCTCTAGGTTCAGGAACTCAAGCTAACTATAGGCCTATATCCAATCTTCCTTTTATCTCAAAGATCCTGGAGAAAGTGGTAGCTAATCAGCTGTGTGACTTTCTCCATGACAACAGTTTATTTGAGGAGTTTCGGTCAGGATTTAGAGTCCACCATAGCACTGAGACTGCACTAGTTGGAGTTATAAACGATCTACTTCTAGCTTCAGACAGGGGACTTCTCTATGTGCTCGTCTTGTTAGATCTTAGTGCTGCTCTTTACGCTATTGACTATCAGATCCTATTATACAGACTAGAACATTTACTTGGAATTACAGGGACTGCTTTAAGTTGGTTTGAATTCTACTTATCAGACCGATCTCAGTTTGTACATGTTAATGATGAGTCTTCTATGCACACCAAAGTTAGCCATGGAGTGCCACAAGGTTCAGTGCTTGGACCAATTCTCTTTACATTATATATGCTTCCTCTGGGAAATATTATGAGGAAACACTCCATACAGTTTCATTGTTATGCAGATGATACTCAGCTTTATGTATCAATGAAGCCCGGTGGCACCAGTCAGTTATGTAAGCTAGAAACGTGCCTTAAGGACGTTAGGACCTGGATGACCAGAAATGTTTTGCTACTTAACTCAGACAAGACTGAAGTTATTGTGCTAGGCCCTAAAAACCTCAGAGAGACTTTTTCTAGTGATGTGACTGTCCTTAATGACATCAGCCTGGCATCTAGCACCACTGTTAGGAATCTAGGAGTTCTATTTGATCAAGATATGTCCTTTAGCTCTCACATCAGGCAAATTTCAAGAACAGCCTATTTTCACCTTCGTAATATATCCAAGATCAGGAATATCCTGTCGCAAAATGATGCAGAAAAACTAGTTCATGCATTTGTTACCTCCAGATTGGATTATTATAATTCTCTTTTGTCAGGGTGCTATGGTGGATCTCTAAAGACTCTTCAACTAGTCCAGAACGCTGCAGCTCGTGTACTGACTAGAACTAGGAAAAGGGACCACATTACTCCTGTGTTGACTTCTCTGCACTGGCTCCCCATACAGTCTAGAATAGAGTTCAAGATCCTTCTTCTCACTTACAAAGCTCTAAATGGCCAGGCACCATCTTATCTTAAGGAGCTACTAGTGCCGTACTGCCCCTCAAGAACATTACGGTCCCAGAATGCAGGCCTGCAAGAGTTGTATAGGTTTGTTTGGAAAAAGCAACAGTTCAAAGATTTTTGGGTTTGACAAAAAGTCTCTAAGTGTACTATAGGAGGTAAAGCCTTCAGTTATCAGGCTCCTCTCCTCTGGAATCGTCTTCCAGCCGGGGTCCGGGTGGCAGACACAGTCTGTATTTTTAAGAATAGACTTAAAAGTTTCCTTTTTGATAAATGTTATAGTTAGGGCTGGTGTAGACCAGCTCCTAGTTATGCTGCTATAGGCTTAGACTACCGGGGGAACTGGCACCTTGAGCTCTCATCTCTCTCTCTCTCTCTCTCTCTCTCTCTCTCTCTCTCTCTCTCTTTCTCTCTCTGTCTGTGCATATACAGTACATCATATGTATGCATGTATCTATCTGTAAATCTCAGTCACTAACCACCTACTTTCCTGGGAGCTCTTGATCTCTCTTAGGCTCCTCGAGATCGTTAGTTGACGGCCTGCCAGAACAACCCCCCCCCCCCCCCCTCACCGGATTGTTGATGGACCCGCTTGCTCCCTATCCCTCTTCCTGCATCTTATCCCATCTCTCCTCCTATCCCCTTCCAAGCCCAGCGCAGTCTAGGCCTGTGAAGGCTGTTTCGTCATGAGCCGGGGATCCGGCCGAAGATTTCTGCCTTTTAATAAGGCAGCTTTTTCTTACCACTGTAACTTTTGCTGCTTTGCTAAAGTGCTCATGATGGATAGGCCGGGTCTTTGTAATGTAGCAATAAGTAAGGTCTTTTTACCTGCTGTTTGTAACATAACAATGAGTAAGGTCTTTTTACCTGCTTTTTTGTAATGTTAAAAGACAAAGAGTAAGGTATTTTACCTGCTTTTTGTAAAGTGTCTCGAGATAACACTTGTTATGAGTTGACACTATACAAATAGAAATTGATTAATTGATGGGTTGATTGATTCTTTGGTTAGTATTATGTATCCGTTTTGCCCCCTCCCCTCTGCCCTTTTGTACAATTCCCAGTGGGAGAGGTGGGTGTCCATTGTTTTGCCTAAGTGAGAGAAACAATTAAATAAGTCATCACAGAATAAATTGTTTTTCCAAGTCTAGAAGACAAACAGTTTAATGACGTGGTTAATCTCTTATGTTGCAAAAACAACTACAAAACATTTGATGATCAGTCGACAATGTAAATCCGTTGGGGGAACAGGCCTACTGCAGAGTGGTAAACATGACCCTGTCACAACTTTTTTAAAATGTGTTACTGGCATTAAATATAAAATGGGCACATCATACTTTTCCAAAAAACATTGAAATGTCTCAGTTTCAACAGTTGTCTATGTGTTATTTTCAATTAATCCATTTTTATCTTATCATTTTACACAGTGTCCGACTTCTATTGAACCAGTGGGGTTGTTTGTTTTTAACATGTACTTCCTGTGCAGAGATTTACGCAGAGGCCTCTGGTAAACAGGATATGGGCTTGGTGCGATCTGAACAGCGATATTTCAGCAACTTTCGCAGTTTTATTTTAACACATAAGCACAATACATTTTCCATTACACATTCCACCTCTTCAATAAAAACCCCCAGAAAAATCAGTCGTAATGATGATTACTTAAAAGGAAACACAAATTAAAATCATCCCTCACCCTGCACACTCAAAAAGACCACAGCATAACCTCAATCTGGCCTTTGAATACTCGCTCAACAATAAAAGCCTCATTCTCCATGACTTCATAACCGACACCAATAATGGACACCCTTTTTCTCACCGAAACCTGGCATAAAGCCATAGACTGTCACCACCATCCTCAAGAAACCTGGACTCAAAACCGACTGTGTTCTGTTTATCTGTCGCTGCACCTTCATGTTGTTTTATTTATGATTTGTGTGTAATGTTGTAATGTCTGTTAGTCTGTCCTTACTGTTCTGATCCTTCTGTCTTTTTAACAAATGTACAGTGTCTTGAAATTGAAACTTATAAATAAAATGTATTATTATTTTACCCCAGACAAACAAAAAGTCACAAAAGCCTCAAAGTGAGAAAAGTAAACTTATGAAACACTAAAATAATGAAGCTAAAGGGGAAGAAAAAGACGAATAGGAAAGGGTTTGGAATTAATAAATTAAAAACATGTAAACATTCGTATGCAAGTCAGATACTCACCTCATCTTTCTACTGTTTCTTCCTCTCAGTCGTTTTCTTAAGATGACTTAGTCGAACAGATGTTTCCTCTCGATGTTGCTCTGTGGTTACAGTTGCTCCAGGTTCAGCTCTCTAGTCTGGATGATGTGATGATGCAGTAGCAGCAGCTTTAAATGTCCGAGATAGAGGCGTGACACTTTCCTTATCAGCAGGATGTTATGTGACTTTTCTTTCCTGAATTAGTAAGTCGTTCCCAACTCTCTCCCTCTCTCTCCCGTTTCTAACTCTATCCACTGTCCTATCTCTAAATAAATGAATGAAAGCCCCAAAATAAAAATAACTAATAAAATAATAAAAATAAACCTTCCTTTAATTTTTTTCAAATAGTTTTGAATGACAAGAAATTAGTTTTTAGTTAGTTTTTATCCTTATTTTTTGGACGCCCTGGCAGAATTGCCCCCCCTCCTGTTTTTCATTCTTCTTCAGGATTCTGTTGCTCTTTATTACCACATGAAAGCAAAACGCCTTCGTAGAAATTAGTTGTTGTTTTTTTTGCTTGGACTAAATTGTTCCCCCTAAATTTGCCTCCCTATCTTTACTGCCTTGGCTCTTGCAGGTTTCTGAGAAACTCCTCAATTTCTCTGTCTTTATTCTTCTCCAGGGTTCCGATGCTTTTCTTACGGAAGGAAGATTTTTCAGGTATTGCTGCTGCCTTCATGTGATGTTGTGTCGACCTGTGGTAGGCTTTTTTCGATCACAGAATAAGTAATTTGCATATATCTTGTAAAGCATCTGTTTGTCTTCAGGTTCTGCAGGTTCATTTTTGAGCAGTTTCTGAAATATCTGCTCAGCTTTGGCCTTGCTGTGATGTGACTTTGCATAGATAGTTGCGAGGTCTATTTCCCTTTTGAGTGAAGAGTGAGGGTAAAGAGAGAGCAGCTCCTCGTGGAGAGCGATTGCTCTGTCCACCATGCTTTGTTCTGGGGAACTACTGCTTTTATAAATGATCCTCCATCTGTAGCAGAGTGCAACAAATTTCTTCAGATAACGCACATCTGGATGTTCTTTCAGAACTTTCTCTGCCAAATCAACGGCCTCATCAACGGCCTCATCAACGGCCTCATCAACTGATATGTATTTTATGTAAAGGTTTAGTAAGGCCCACATGCCACTGCCACTGCAGCACAGAGTGCTCACATTTCCAGCCAACTCACGGACTTCATCTCGAATGTTTTCTCCTTCATCAGCACGTTGTTCAAGGTAGAGCGCAGCGAGGTACAAGTTCTCTGGATCCCGTTCCTTGGCTTGTCTCATTTTCTCCAAGAGGTCAGGGTCCAGCCTTGTGTCACTGAAGTTTTGGACCTTCTTTAACCATATAACATAGCTGGTGTTCCAATCCACCATGTCCGGCTGCATCCTGGCAGCTTTCTCGTAGTAATCAACAACCAGCTTCTTATCCTCTCCGAAGAACATCAGGGTCCAGGCCTTTTCAGCGCAGATCTCTGGATGGAGGTCGTCCTGGGATGGAGATGGGTATTTTTCCATCAGGGCATCAACCTTTGACAGGTAAGCCTGACTCTCCTCTAGATCTTCCAGGTGGTGGTGCAGCCAGGCTAGGTTCCCGTAGTTCACCACTAACCAAGCACCCTCATCTGGTTGACCGTTAGAAAACGGTGTGCGTACACTCACGTCACGTCCGGTTGAGTGTACGCTGGCGCGTTTAGCTGCCGCTGCTCTCCGGTTCCTCTGACTGTTTTGCTGATCTACAGACCTTTTTGCATTTGTTGTATTCTTCCCTGGACATACTTCCAAATGATCAGATTACCCGGTGAGTTAATTTGGATTGGTAGCCTATTAGCTTACCTGTTGCGTGCAGGGCTCCCACTCCTCACCTGGGCTGCTTCTGCTGCCGGAGCCCTTATCCAGTCCATTATCGGCAACAACAATGTGGATTAATAAAATGTTTGTATGGTCCGTGCTCGTCTGGACTGCCCTGTCGTTGGTCCTCAACCCAACAGCAGCGGTACTCCATTACACAGCCGCTGAGCTCCTGCAACTACGCTTCCACCTGTCTGATCCTCCACCGGCTTTGCATCTCTACCTGGACATCGCTCGTCATGCCCGTCGGAAATATATCCACCGTGGTTCCCGACGGGGCTTTCAAATTGACGACTCCACACCAATACAATCCATCTGGTCCTCATCTCGCCAACCCCGAAGAAACTCCAGCCGGAAAGTTGACCACACTGTCCTAGCCAGCCTAGCCAGGTCGGCTAACGTCAGGGTCAAACACGACCACAACGATGTCAACTTCGGATTATTTAACACCCGCTCTCTTACCAGCAAAGGTCCTCTCCTCCAGGAGCTCCTGGTTGACTGTAAGATTGATTTTTTGTGTTTAACCGAAACATGGCAACAGCCTAATGACTTTTCACAGCTGAATGAAAGTACCCCTCCAGGGTTTGTTTACATCTGTCAACCCTGTGCCTCTGGCAGAGGGGGAGGTCTCGCGATAGTTTACCGCGAGAATTGGAAAGTGTCGCCTGTTTCTGTCCCTGTTCAGTTGTCTTTTGAATCTATTGCCTTACAACTGAATGGGCCTACACCTACCATAGTGGCCACTGTCTATCGTCCACCAAAGTCCAATACTGATTTCTTGAATGAATTTGCTTCATTTTTAACTCATCTGTGCTCACTCTCCCCTAACATAATATTGCTGTGAGATTTTAATATACATATGGATAAAACTAACAATGCCTTGACGAAGGACTTTACATCCTGCCTTGACAGCTTTGGATTGCAGCAACATATTGATTTTCCTACACACTCCAAAGGACATATCTTGGACTTAATCTGCTGCTCTGGTGTCACTCCTCTTGACTGCGCTGCAGATGTCCTTCCCATTTCTGATCACATGTTAATATCTTTCAATGTCAAACTTACACTATCCAAAAAATATCTGCCACGGGTCATTTCATATCGCAACATCAAGGACATTAACTTAACTGCTCTCTCCAGTGGCATTGACAACCTCCCCAGCATAAACTGTTTATCCACCCCCGATGAACTGGTTTCTCATTACAATGATGGTCTTCATAGCCTCTTAAATACCCTGGCTCCTTTAAAAACCCGGACTGTTTCATTCACCCACTCTGCTCCATGGTTTACACCTGAACTTCGCCTACTTAAAACAAAAGGTCGTCGCCTGGAACGTCTCTACAAGAAAACTGGACTTCTTATTCACAGAGAAATGTACAGTAACCACATTCTCCACTACAAGGACAGTCTCTCTACAGCTAAATCAACTCACTACGCAGGTATCATTAGCTCAGGTGAAGGGAATACAAGGACACTATTCTCCATCATCAACAACATTCTACGACCACCGGACTCTCTCGCCTCTCATCTGTTTTCCACCGCCTATTGTAACTCTTTAATGTCATTTTTCACTGCTAAAGTAGACAAGATTCACCAGCAACTGACTCCTAACATCTCATCTCTCCCAGTCTTCTTACCTCCTCTCTCTCACTCACTTTCAAGTTTCAAACTTCCTTCTGTTGCTGAAATATCTGACCTCATTCAGAAATCAAAACCATCTACCTGTCCATTAGACCCTCTCCCTACTGTCCTAGTAAAAGCCTGCCTATCCCCTCTGTCTTCCCTAATAATGGTCATCATACATTCCTCCCTCACCTCTGGTCTTGTTCCCATTTCTTTCAAGTCAGCTTCAATAACCCCTATACTTAAGAAACCTGCTGCAGACCCAAATGACTTCAACAACTTCCGTCCTATCTCTAATCTACCCTTCCTAAAGCAACGCCCATACGTAATAATCACCTTTTTATACCAGCTAGGATTGACCCACGATTTACATCTTTGGAGAGGAATGGCCTGCGCTGTCTGGGTGACTTATACATTAATGATGTTTTTGCCAGTTTCGAACAATTACGTTCTGCATTCAATTTAAATAGCTCCGACCTTTTTCGATACTTTCAGCTCCGTGATTTTGCTAGGACCCACTCACCGGCATTCCCTCAAGTTCCAAACCCTAGTGGCATTGATCTGGCACTCAAGGCAAGAGTCTTGCCCAAAGGTCAGGTTTCCTACCTTTATGACCTCCTGTTCACAACTAACGAGTCTGCGGTAAATAAGATCAAGGCTGATTGGGAAATCGAATTACAAACCAACCTTTCTGAGGATTTCTGGAAAAATCTCTTGGGTCTGTTAATTCATCTAACACTAACACCTCCAGTCTGGTTAAGAAGGCTTATCAACGCCTCTTTTTCCAGAGGACACTGAAGAGACACCACCTGTCTTCAGCTGTGCTGGTGAACTTCTACCGCTGTGTGATCGAGAGCATCCTGACCAGCAGTGTCACAGTCTGGTACGGAAACTGCTCTGTCACAGACCGTAAGGCGCTACAGCGGGTGGTAAAAACCGCCCAGCGTATCACAAGGTGTCCACTTCCTGCCATTGAGGACGTCCAAAGAAAACGCTTTTCCCCGAATTTGCGGCGAGCTCACAGCATCCTTAAAGACTCCTCCCACCCTGCCCACAGACTGTTTACCCTCCTGCCCTCCGGTAGGCGCTTCAAAAGCCTCCGGACCAGAACCAGCAGACTGATCATTTAGTCTATGGCGAGTTGCGACTAGCAGTAGTGGTCTATCTTTATTCGTCTGTTTTCTACTGTCGTCAGTGTATAATCGACCAGAAACAACCTGATTTATAGCTCACTGCTCGTCGCACACTTCTGGGTATGGAGTTTTTATTCTTAATCATCACGTGGACTTTGTTGACTGTGGCTCAGTGTTTGTTTGATCCCTGCCACTCGCATACGGGCCGGATTCAGTATTCTCGGGGATTTTTACTGGATCTAAAGTATCGACAGCAGCCACTGTTGCACCTAATTACCGAAGACTGTTTAACAGTGGATATCTCCGGTCATCGTGATGATTTTAACAAAAAGAACAACAAAGGGAAAGTACGGAAACGAGGGAGACGGGGTGGTGTCCGAGAGAGGCTCAAGCGTCTGAATCTCCACCGTATACCCCTCTCCTCGATGCTGCTCTGTAATGCCCAATCCATCAGAAACAAGATCGACGAGATCCAGGCCAACGTCATTCATCTGGAGAAATTCAGAGACTCGTGCATCATGGCTTTCACCGAGACCTGGCTTACTTCTTCGGACTTGGACACGGATCTAACGCTCTGCGGTTTTGGGACATCGGTGAGGCTTGACAGAAACGTTAACGTCACAGGTTATTTCAATCACTGTAACTTGAAATCATTGAGCAACTTTCACCAGTATATTTCTTGCCCCACCAGACTGAACAAAACTATTGACCTGTGTTATGGTTTAGTCAAAGGTGCATATAAGTCGGTTTCCCTGCCCTCTCTTGGCTCTTCTGATCACAACACCATCCTTCTTACCCCCATCTACAAACCTCTCCTTAAAAGAGTAAAGTAGTCACAAGGACAGTGGAGCTGTGGACTGAAAGTGCTATTCATCATTAAAACGTAGATAAAAATCATTCAGTGCATATGCAAGCTCTGTCTGTGATTTAAAACCGTCCATGTTAATCCACCCATTTTTCTTGTTGTCCTGGCCAGTCATGGTTTTCATGCCATCCCACACTGCCTTTAGGTCATTACTATAAAATCTATCCTCCACCCTATTCTTATATTGGAGCTTAGCCCTCTTGATTTCATGTCTGGCCTCTTTCTTCGCTTCTGCTATCTCAACAACCCCACCATGCAGAAACGTGTCATGTTTCCTGTGCAGTGCATCCTTCACTGCCCCTTCTAACGCTAGTATAAGTGTTCATTCTGATCCATGTTTAAAAAATTTAACATTAGGAAAAGCCCTGCAATCTGCAAAAAGGGCCTCCAGAGACTCTACTTTCTGCGCAGAATTAACACTTTTAATGTGGACAAGACACTGATGGTTTTATTCTACCGATCTTTTATAGAGTCAATTTTAACCTTTTGTTTTATCTCATGGTATGGTAACCTTTCTGTTCAGAACAAAAATCGTCTTTCCAGTATTGTCAATACAGCCAGTAAAATAATCGGCGCTCAGCAGTTGTTAGAAAAGC